GGCACTCCGGTTTTCTCCGAAACCACCCGGAACACTTCCGGTGTCCGAACATAGTCATCCAATATATCGATCTTTACGTCTCGACCATTTCGAGACTCCTCATCATGTCCGTGATCATATCCGGGACTCCGAACTACCTTCGGTACATCAAAACACAAAAACTCATACTACCGATCGTCACCAAACTTTAAGCGTGCGGACCCTACGGGTTCAAGAATTATGTAGACATGACCGAGACACGTCTCCGGTCAATAACCTATAGCGGAACCTGGATGTTCATATTGGCTCCCACATATTCTACGAAGATCTTTATCGGTCAAAACCGCATAACAACATACGTTGTTCCCTTTGTCATCGGTATGTTACTTGCCCGAGATTCGATCGTCGGTATCTCAATACCTAGTTCAATCTTGTTACCGGCAAGTCTCTTTATTCGTTCCGTAATACATCACCCTGCAACTAACTCATTAGTTACAATGCTTGCAAGGTTTATAGTGATGTGCATTACCGAGTGGGCCCAGAGATACCTCTCCGACAATCGGAGTGACAAATCATAATCTTGATTTATGCCAACTCAACAAGTACCATTAGAGACACCTGTAGAGCACCTTTATAATCACCCAGTTACGTTGTGACGTTTGGTAGCACACAAAGTGTTCCTCCGATGATCGGAAGTTGCATAATCTCATAGTCATAGGAACATGTATAAGTCATGAAGAAAGCAATAGCAGAAAACTAAACAATCAAGTGATAAGCTAACAGAATGGGTCAAGTCAATCACATCATTCTCCTAATAATGTGATCGCATTAATCAAATGACAACTCATGTCTATGGTTAGGAAACATAACCATCTTTGATTAACGAGCTAGTCAAGTAGAGGCATACTAGTGACACTCTGTTTGTCTATGTATTCACACATGTATCAAGTTTCCGGTTAATACAATTCTAGCATGAATAATAAGCATTTATCATGATATGAGGAAATAAATAATAACTTTATTATTGCCTATAGGGCATATTTCCTTCACGATTTGTCATGAAAAAGTGTTTGGTTTGACATGCCTAAAAATCGGACATTGGCTGGATATTCGGATTCAAAATTTTTTACTGACCTGGTGAGATGTTTTAAGAAAAAGAGCCCTGGTGAGATTTACCAAGGACTCAATCTTTGATGCCGGTTGGTACGGCTCCAAGGTTCGCTGCCGTGCCACAGACCCATGCTGACCGGACGAATTGCCCCGTCGTCTCTTGGTAGCGACGGGCATCCAACAAGACCGACCGAATCGCGATGGAGACCTGGGTCCGCGCCGCCGTGGAGGCCATCCACTCGTCTCGAGCCCAAGCCGTCATCTATCTCGCCGGCGGCGCCTCCCAGGTACCGCCCTCTTCTCGGCAGCTCTACTGTAAATTTGTACTCGCCAGATTCCCAACTGTTGGACACCTCGACCGCCGCAGGCGCTCGGTTGGCTCCTGTCCGTGCCCGGCGCTTCTGGCAGCGTCCTCGAGGTCGTCGTGCCCTACTCCAGGGCCTCCATGGCGCAGCTGCTCGGCAAGGTAAACGCACCCGCATACTCTCGAACTCGAACTCCTTTGAACTTTTCTAGGCACTCATCTGACTGACTGACTGACTGACCGACCATGCTTTGGTTTCCAGTTGCCCCTGCAATTCACAAGCAAGCAGGCCGCGGAGGACATGGCACTGGCCGCGTTCAACCGTGCCCTGAAGCTTTCTGGGCCAGGTCTGTGCCTCTGTGGGTGTCTGTCTTCTCTAACTTCATAACGCTCGATCTGTGGATCATTCTGCATACGAGCTTACAGTTTGCACACGACATAATCTGTGTTTGCTATGAATTTAAGTAATTGGGTGAGAATACTCTCAGGTCTACAAGTAATGGGTGTTGGATTTACTGGGTCACTCGCTAGCGCACGCCCAAAACATGGTGACCACAGGTATGCCTCGCAAACTCCCCTATACAGTAGCAATAATTAGAGGAACAAAGAAACCACCAAAGCTTTTACAGTTATCCCTTTAGTGGTTCTACTTCTCGGTAATGTTTACAGCACCTAACCCAAAGCTTATCAGTCATTAGAGTTGGTTTTCTTTTGCGAGAAGTTATTAGAGTTAGCTAGTTAACTGAGTACAAGTTAACCTGTTATTGACACGAATGCACTTCTTGCTTACAATTTTTTTTAATGTGCCTATGTCATTTAGAGCTTTATTGCTCTAGTTTCTATGGCATAGGAGCCTGCATACATGATGTATTACACAAAATTCCCAGCTTTTGGAGTGTCAGGGCATCTAAGTTTGTTAAGTCTGCGTCTTTCTGCTCTATATGATATTTGACACTCATGTTCAAATAGGTTTTATGTGTCAACGCGCACACAAAATTGCCTCAGGACATCACATGTAACATTGTCGAAGGTACTACCAAAGCTCTTTACTCTTAACAAAGCATTTCTCCTGGAGTCAATGTCATGATTATGCTCTGTTTCTGGGCAATTTTTGCATCCTGGCATTTACAGTACTTTTTTGAGAAAAACTTCTATAGCATTTTTATGTAGGGTTTACGGAGCAGAGAGGAAGAAGACAAGGTCTCAAGCTGTTTTGTGCTTAAGGTTTGTTATATATACTAGGTCTCACTGGTAACAGTTGATTGGGCATCAGATTAGCGAATAGGAGCAACCAATCCTGAGAGTGTGATCATCGTGTCAGGACCAACAGTACTTTTCCTTAAACGATATTCCCAGTTAGCTCTCCCTTATAAAAATCTACTGCGCTCCAGGCAATCGCAGATGCATGCAGAATTTCTGCAACCATTCAGTCAGACGTTCAAGAACCTGAAATTCCAAAAGAAAGTGTGGAACAATTTGATGAAGACCAAGAGCTCCAGCAAGTTATTGATGGTCAAGTCTGCACGAAAGTTTACCACTTTGCTGGTATACCCTGACACTCAAAATTGCTCTCTTTTTCGTACTAGAATTGTTTCATTTTCATTCTTAATCATATTATTATTCGTCATTTGTAGATCCAACGGAAAAGAACTTCGACAGGAAACTAATTCTACCTGGTTCATTCAATCCCTTGCATGATGGCCACCTTAGGTTGTTAGAAGTTGCATCAAGGTGAGATGTAATCAAATCAAACATTTGCACAGCTGGATTATGTCATTCTAAAAATTGGCAAGGCGAAATATATCAAAATTATACAAAGTAATGTGTAAAATTTTCTCTGCTAAATTGGAAGGTGAGATAAAATGAAATTAACTATTTGTACAATTGAATTTTGTCATCCTAAAATTTATCAAGGTAAAAATATATAAAAATGGGTACGGAGTAATGTGGTGTAAAATGTACTCTGTTAAGCTGGAATGTTTTTTACAGTGGTGACTTAATGGAAAACTGATAATGCAATAGCGTTTCAATATAGCTGTTTGTGTAGCAAATATCTACATCATTTTATTAAAACCTTTCACTTGTTGAAGCCCACAAACAGTAATGGACCTTTTATTTTCATGAATCTGCTCATTGCAGCATGTGTGATGATGGGTTTCCGTGCTTTGAGATATCAGCAATAAATGCGGACAAACCCCCCCTGTCTATTGCAGAAATTAAGCGCCGTGTCGAGCAATTCAGAAAAGCAGGTATGCATATGACTAACTGCTGTGGTGCAAAATATTACAGTCGTACTTGGATTTTCTTACAAACTATTTATCACATGGCCTACCCTCTATTTTGCTATTTTCCTGGTGCTCTTATTCGATTGCTATGCCAATCTAATAAATGTGCTTTAGTTTGAGGTTACAGAGATATATAATTTTGTATTAACTCGTGTAGTCATCTTTGCTGATATATCGTTTAGCAGTGATTCTGGGACACAGATGTGTCCAGACATGTTCCTTACTCCGTTTCACCAATCACCATCTACTACCTCTGTTTCTTTGGCTTTATGTGGCAAGATAAAACTATGTTTATCTGTAAGGGAAAACTCATCCAATTAATCAGTGATTATGCGAGTCTTTGATTCTTTCTGATGCAGGGAAGAATGTGATCATATCTAACCAACCGTACTTTTATAAGAAAGCAGAACTTTTCCCAGGCAGTGCTTTTATAATTGGTGCAGACACTGCAGCTAGGCTTGTAAATGTAAGTTTGCTTGAGTTGACCGTTAAATTACAGATTAGTTAGTTTGCTTTCTGAGATTAGCTTAACAACTGTTCCCTTTTTCATTAAATATAATTAATAATGAAATGCTTTGTGGCATTCTTCTAAATGAAAAGGCAGTGCTCCTGCCGGTTCCTCAGATTTTTTGTATACATAATTAATAATGAAATGCTTTGTGGCATTCTTTTAGTTTCTTATCAGCTTATGCTTACTTCCGAATATGAAGTGTGATATGCCATTTAGTCATGTGAAAGAAAAACCCAGCGTCTACTGACATGGTTAAGTGAAAAAAAAACTGCTCAACTCGGCATTTACATATTGAGCTCTATTAAGCCCAGATTGCATTTCTGCATTGGTTTCTATGAATGGACACACCCCCACCAAAAACATGTTAGTAAAATGATATATCCAATTCCAAAAGGAAGCCTTTTCCTATGCAAGCAAATCTTTTCAGCTAGGCACCTAGCATCAGTGCAGCATTTAGTATAATCGTAAAAAGTGAAATTTCATGTGCAGCTGATTTAGATGCCATTATTGTAAGTTATAAACATAAACTGATTTGTTATTCAGGATATATTTGGCTGAATCATATAATTCTCGAATTCAGTTATTGAATGCTATCTTAGAATGGATGTTCGACAATTGAGTGTTTTATTTTTCAAACTAAATGAAGTTTACTCATGGCAGCCTAAGTATTATGGAGGTGACTACAACAGAATGCTGGAGATTCTTCTTGAATGTAAAAGCACTGGCACAACATTTCTGGTTGGTGGTCGAGAGATTGAAGGAGTATTCAAGGTATGAAATGGCCTTGATGTTTTGTTTTACATGCACTGAAATTCTTTGTCTGCTCATGTACTTCACTATTTGTTTTGAAGGTCCTTGAAGAATTAAATATTCCAACAGAGTTGAAGGACATGTTTATCTCTATACCAGAGGAGAAGTTCCACATAGACATTTCATCTACTGAATTAAGAAAAAAACAAGGGCTCTGATGTCTCGAACACTTGGTCCTATCCTACACCAGATTCAAGATGTTTTTCTCTTGGGCGAAGCTTTGCAAATAGTCATGGCAGTGTTTGATTTCATAGTTTTGCCATGCAAATAATAACTGTTATGTTTGTATTAGTAAAGGCAAAAACACATTCCATTAGTACTACAGATGTCAGAAGGCGATGGTGGCCCTGTTATTTTTTTCTTGAAAGCCATGTAATCTTTCTGTTTGTCTTTTTGGGTATGCTGTTATTGGACACTTTTCATGTGTCATACATGTACAGACTCATCGGTGTCACAGTGGATACTGTTTTTGAGATTATAGCATCAGAGGTATTCTCACATAGATTGCTTCGCTGATGGAGTATGCTTGTATACATTAATAGGTACCGTACATCTGGATGCTAGCAGTCAGGTCTGAACTCAACTGGTGTTTCATCAACTTCGCCTATCTGGGACTTGGTTCGTGCAATCATATTTTCTTATAGCAGGTTCATTTTTCTTGAAATCTACTCCAGGATCTTGGTTGGAATTATTATTATGTCCTGACAGCTTCATGGAGTTTATTTTATCTGAACTTCGTCTTGACAGGGCCTCTTGGTATTTTGTTGAGCAAATTGGAATCAACCTTCTCATAGAACTTCTTGATGTCTTGGCCACCCCTTGCAACGAGATGGTCCACTTCTGTCTCGTAATGTTGGTACAACACTGGCAAAGTGTGGGCACACAAGAATCCTGTGAAAGTAAGAAACACATACTACTTGTTATACTATTTAGAAATTTCAGTTTTACATTTTTCTGTGAGACTGCATTAGTTTATGTGTTCTCCTAGCATCCTTTCTGTAGTTACTAGTTAGTTCCACCTTCTGTATTTGGTTTTCTTGAACGTTACTATTTCTGTTCTACTTACCAAGGTAGAGTAGGCTTGTGAAGCTGCAAGAACCTCCAATCACTGACAATAACAGCAGGGATCCTACCACCTTATAACAATAGTAACAATTTGAATGTCAGTACAAGTTTAAGTTGAAGAGCAATAGCAAAATAACGTTGTGAACTATATTGGCTAAACGTTGATTTGAGTGGCATGTCATGTCTAATCTGGTTGATTCAGATCTCTTAAGTGTTTCTGTATTAATCCATAATGTCGATCTGGAACAAGACTTGTCACATGGTTTGTCTTTTCTTGACTAAGATAGCAAATAAGAGAATTTCGTACCATGAGAAATTTCTTCAGATCCTTTCCACATGCGATATCATAAAGAAGAGATGCAGCATATTCCAGTTTGTGGTGAATGGTCAAGGCCATTTCTCTGAAGGCGTGTTCGGAGACGACGACTTGTGGTATCCTTGGCGGGGCCCTGCGATTTGAAATTGGTCAGCCGACCTTTTGAAATTCTTTAAAGCTAAATACTGGGACAATTACTCAAAAAATAAATAAACACTGGGATATCTCCTCTCCGTGGAAAGAAAGGAAGCCATGCCTGTCGAAGAGCTGCGCAGCATTTGACGCAATGAAGATGGCAAGCATTGCGAAGATGGCGATCTGGCAAAGGAGCGGTACTGCATTGTATTCAACCACGTCGAACAGGAACCATGTCAACGTGGCCCCAGCGAGAACCCCAGCAGACACGTTCCTGTTCTTCCACAGCAGAACGTCCGCAGCTGCAACCAAAGCCCAACATCGGTGTCCATAACTACGTCGGCTTGGGGAGAAACTATGGTGATGCAGATAGTGTAGGGTAATTGCTTACAAACAGAACAAGAATGGCGCACCTTTCCCTCCCCCCAGGATCCGGTGGATCGACTTGTGCCTGTGGAATGGCCCTGCGACGTGCGGTCCGTGGTCAGGATTGCTGGGAAAATGTGGCGGCATGACTTCACGCGTTTGGGATGTTCACCTGATTGATTTGTTAGATGTCTGATCTGTTTAGTTGCAGAAATTGCGTCTTTATAGGCACCTAAATGCTAGTATGAGCTCTAAAGGGTAAGCCTATGTTGACAAGGAAAGGATAGCTTGGCCTGTAGGAGGATGAGCAATTGAGGGAGGGGAATAAACGGGTGCAGGGCAAGGGTTTCCTTCAACCAGATGTTTTCTTCGTCAGAGCCCAGACTGAAGCAAGTTTAGCTGTTTGCCAGAAGCTTGCCGGAACTGCATCTTGATGCTCTGTGAACATCAATGGGGTTCTGACCGTGACACGCATCAATGTGAACTTGCGATGCACCCCAGCGTTTCTGCACTCGCCGTCTCCTACTCAAGTGTGAGAGCTTTTGTGACCCGGTGATGAAGATGCCGTCTTTCTTACTCCGCATTTCTGACGGCGCTCTCGTCCCAGCAGCCTCCTTATTCCAGAAACAACTATCGCCATTTCGCCATTGCTCAATGTTGGAAAATCTGTTCAACAAGGCACTTTTATCGGTGTGCTCCACGGTCACCCCACTTCAATTAACAAACGTAATCTGCACAGCAAACCTTGGACATGTCTCGCTAAGCAGCAGCAGCAGCGTGCTTCACGCGACCCGAGCTCTGAAGCAGTGCCGGAGCCCCAAGCACTCATTGGAATGCCCGTGCTCCACCGTTTACGCAACCGTGCAATGCAAAAGCTTTACGAAGTTTTAGCGGCACTGTTCCAGATAGAGCATGGCGCGGGTGCCGGGTGCGCTGTTCTCTTGCTACAAATAGTATGCCAACCCTCTCTTGTGCTCCCAAAACCACCAGACAGAGTAATCCTTCACTGAGAAGCCATGAAGCCCTGCACGGTGCTGTTCCTCGTAGCCGTGCTCACGTCGTCGGGCGCGGTGCGCGGGGCGTCCATTGCAGCGCGCTCGGAGTGCGACCCATGGGCGCTGCGGCCGTGCGCCCCGGCGATCCTCTGGAGCGCGCCCCCGTCCAGCGCGTGCTGCGCCAGGCTCCGGGAGCAGAGGCGGTGCCTGTGCAGGTACGCCAGGAACCCCGACCTGGGCAGATACATCAACTCCCAGAACAGCAAGGAGGTCGCGGCTGCGTGTCGCGTGCGGGTTCCTATGTGCTAGGAATACACGCGCGGCGCGGTTGTGTGAGCGCCGTGCTATTATGCTGTGTTCGTCTTGGCCGTCTCCATTTCTGACATGCTAGCTATTAGCAGTGCTTTGTGTGTCATTGCCATCAAATGTGCCTGTGGTGTTGATGATCGTGTCTTATTGTTTGGTTTGTTTGTTTTCAACATATGATTGCACCAACAAGTTATCTGGCACTAAAACCAGTCCTATACTGACAATAGCGAAATGAAGTGCTCATGCTACTCCCCTGAAACCAACACTACACAAATCCAAAAGCAGGTGCATTTCCCTGAACATTGTTTACAACCATGTCTTCTAGTACGCTTCAGGAGGTTCTTCTTGGCAATTCCAGGTCCGCGCTGCTACCCTCCAGCATCTCGACGACTCCGCTCATCGACGGGCGACTCGCAGGCGCGGTCTGCGTGCACCACAGCCCGACTATGATCATCTTCCTCACAAGCTCTCTGGTGTCGCCATTGACGTCCGAAACACTGTTGCAGAACTCATCCAGGTGCTCGTAGAGCCACTGGGCGAAATACTTGCTGGTGGTGTCAGCACCAACCCTGACGTGTCTCTTTGCCCTGACCATCTCCAGGACCATCACGCCATAGCTGTACACGTCGGACTTGTTAGTGACCGGCCCGAATCTCCTGGACACCACCTCAGGTGCGTCGTAGCCATCTCTCTCCCTCGCACCGCGAGTAGATGCTTCGCATAGGTTTGCTACACCAACATCGGATATCTTTGGGCATAGCTCCTGATCCAGCAGAATGTTCCGGGGTTTGATGCTGATGTTCATGCTGTTAGCACCGTCATCGCCATGGAGATAGTCGAGACCTCGCGCCACGCCCATGGCAATGTCGAACAGTTTCTCCCAGTACAGCCATAGCGAGTAGTTCTCCTCCACGGAGTCATAGCTGCTGAGAGCATAGCTTTCCAGGGAGCCATTGGGCATGTACTCGTATATCAGAGCCCTCGTCGGCCCCTGCAAGCAAAACCCCAGCAGAGGAGCGACGTTGTCGTGAGATATTGCGCCGATGCTCTCGACCTCCTTCAAGAAGTCCTTGTCGCCTCCTTTAAAGTTCTTCAGCACCTTCACTGTGATCTGCCGTGCGTCGCGGAGGTTGCCTCTGTAGACATCGCCATGGCTGCCTTGGCCCATCCTGTGAGCAAAGGTCCTTGTCATCCTTTCCACTTCGGAATAGGTGTATCTTTTTGGATGATGAGCTCCCAGTTTTGGTTCAGATGGCTCTTTGCTTGGAGGGGTGGTCGATCCCTCCACAGGAGGCGACAAGCCGCGGTATTTCTTATGGCAGATGAAACAAGTGGTAAGAAGCAGGAGCAGCAGGAAGATGCCACCAATGACTCCTACTATTATATCTGTATAAACAATAGGGGGTTTAAAATGCAATGCATTGAAATGAAATGGCAAGGAAATCACCAACTTCCAAACTCTTGAGCTAGTCTATGTATGTACTGTCACTCTATGGAGTAAGGAAACATAGTCAGAAAAAAAAAGTAACCACTTACATATTCTCTTTTTGTAATCTGAGGATGCGCCGTTCCCTGTAATTTTGTCAAACAAAATATTAGCTTATACTAAAATTTAGAATAAACGACGGCAAAACAATTCTCAATTGAAAAAAATTGTTATCAGGTCGCTGTAAGCCTGAAAGCAGAAGGTACTACCTGTGTTTTTGTTCCGGTTCTGCAAGTTGCTCTGCAGCTTCACACTAAAACCAGAGACCTTGTCGTAGGAGCGGCTCCACAGCATGACCCCGCCGTAATTGGGCGCGCTTTCGACCATCGGCAGCACCTGCGACACGAGCGTGTCCGCGTCGACGAACCCGCTGCCGGCAGCATCCAGCGACGCCGGCAGGCCGAGGTACACGAACGCCGACGGCAGAGCCGCCGTCCACTGCCCCCACGCGCTCTGGAGCGTGCCCGCGTCCCCGCGCGCGAACTGGCACGGCGGGTTGTTGTAGAACTGCACCCACACGCGGTCGAACAGCCCCGTGGCGAGCGCGGTCTTGAGGGACGCGTCCGGGAACGGGCACTGCGGCGCCGCGGTGAGCATGTACTTCTTGCCGCCGGTGTCGCCCTTGTACAGCGACGTCAGGCTCCTGGCGAGGTCGTCGTAGTACAGCGACGGGGCCTCTATGTCGAAGTCGACGCCGTCCAGCACCGCGTCGCCGAGAGGGCGGGGCGCGGCGGCGCCGGCGGCGGTGCCGCCCAGGAAGTTGTCCCATAGGTAGGTGGCCACGGCCTGCGCGTCGGAGGGCGAGGACAGGTTGTACCCGAGCGCGCCGCCGCCCATGCTGAGCAGCACCTTCACGCCGGCGGACTGGCATGACGCGATGTCGGCGGCGAGGGTCGCGCACGACCCCGAGGGTGGGTCGCAGTGGTCTGCGAGGTTGAGGACCGGAGCACGGCCGGCGCCGAAGATGGAGAGGAACGCGAGGTTGACGTAAGCGTAGAGTCCCGTGCCGCATGTGTCCCTGAGCGTGCCCTCGGTGGCGTTCTGACCCCAGTAGACGGCGATGTTGGCGGTGTCCGCCGCCGCCGCCGCGGCGAGGGCGGACGCCGCAAAGAGCAAGATCGTGAGAATGCCGGGCTTGCCGGGCATTGTTAAAGTCTTAAAGATGGCGAATGTCTTTTGTGGCGTGTGCGGTGTGCTTATATATACGACATATATCCAACAAGCATACGTGGAAGGAATGGTGTTGTTATTTTCTGGGATAAAGAACCGGGATGCTGCAAATGACAGGATTGTCGTGTTATCTCCTGTGCATGGAGTAATCAGGAGACCAGCGGACATATGGAAGCCGCTCTGTTTGTCCCAATCGCAGCGGACATATGAAGTATTCAAACCGTTTACAGATTTATGCAACACTGGAGCAAGTGTGCAAGAGCAATATAAACCCTGTCAACTCAAGAGCACTTTTGGTGGCAGTTCGAGGCCGGTTGTGCTCCCCTCAAGCATCTCGACGACTCTAGTCATTGTTGGACGATCTGTAGAACTGAACTGAATGCACCACAGCCCAACCACTATCATCTTCCTCACAACCTCGGTGATCTCTCCATTAATCTCAGAAGCACTGATACAGTATTCATCCAAGTGTTCATAAATCCATTGTGGGAAATATTGGCTGCTAGATTCAGTGTTTGGACTGATATTCTTGTCCCTTGCCCCAACCATCTCAAGAACCATCATTCCATAGCTGTACACATCAGACTTGCTACTTACTGCTCCAAATTGCTTGGAATAAACCTCCGGGGCAATATAGCCTATTGTTCCTCTTGCACCACCAATGGAGATGACACTTTCTTTATTGAGGCACAGCTTGGCCAGTCCGAAATCGGAGATCTTTGGACAGAAGTTTTGGTCCAATAGAATGTTGTGGGGTTTGATATCAAAATGCACAATGCGAGTATTGCATCCTCTGTGCAGATATTCAAGTCCTCGAGCAATTCCCACTGCTATTTCAAATAATTTCTCCCAACCTAAAGTATTTCCACCTTCGGAGCCATCTTTAAAAGCATACCTTTCAAGTGAACCATTAGGCATATAGTCATAAATTAGTGCCCTTTTGGTTCCTTCCAAGCAAAATCCTAAGAGAGTAACAACGTTGACATGAGAAGTTCTACTAATGCTAGCTAACTCATTGATGAAATCCTCGCCATCAGTCTTGAAGTCCTTTAGCATCTTGACTGCTATCTGACGACCATCAGAGAGGTCGCCCCTGTAAACAGCACCAAACCCACCTTGACCTAGCTTTTCAGCAAAAGATCTCGTCATTCTTTTCACTTGTGCGTAAGCGTATCTTTTCGGATGGA